GTATTGATGGGCGTGTCCTAAAATTGACCAACACCTTGAGATTGCGAACTCAAGACCCACCAGCACTTGTCGCCACAGTCATCCCCTCGACAAATCGTCAAACTCCGGAACCCCCAACCCGAGGCGCAACTCGTAACGACCGTCCGCACCTCGATGATGGAGGAGAACAGCACCTCATCGATGGGCTCCTTGCAGGTCAAAATGATGACGCTGATCCGGCGCCAAACAACAAAACCGTTGAAGCAGACATGGCCATGTCACCTGGGCTGGCCATTTCAAAACAGGAAGCACACCCATTCAACAGAAGCAGCGGGTGATTCTGGCTTGATGTTTGGGATGGTCTCTTGCACAAGAACCAGCAAGTGGCTGGTAGCAAAAAGCAGCTGCAGCCATTGGAAACAGGTTACGAAACGCTGGGACTCCAAACGCTAACTCTGTTTTGAAGGGACTCCTTCTCTAGGACACATGTGCCAAACTGCCAGACAACGCACCAGTTCCGTACGAGCAATGAATGGTAGCCCCGACTTCATTGCCGCTCTTTCTCAGCCTGGTTGTACCCTTGGTCCATGTGAGATAATGCACCGGCCTGAAATGTGTGATCCACCAAAATTGCCTTCTCCATAAAGCCAATCAGTATTCCAAAGCAACCAACAAGAAAGAGATCCCTAGATGTTGACAAGGCACTCATCTTCATTTCGGTTTTCCGCCGTGATGCCTCTCCAATGGTCCAAAAGTGGCCGAAAACCGTGCCACCCTACCCCAAGCTCCTCCAGGCTGTTGATCAACTCCATTACACGTGCCTGAGGACTTGGCGGAGGCGCCTTCATGATACTCTGCCTCCCTTTCCACCTGTCTGGAGAAAAGGGACTGAGGACCGAGAAAAGAAAGCGCCACGAGGCGAGGTCTTGAACACAACTGTGACTTTGTCAGCGAAACCTCACCTCTCCAGCGCCTTTTCGGAGAGCGTCTCTTGATCAAACAGGGCCAAGAATAAGGCTGTCTTCAATCATCAAAGTCCATCCAAGCAGCATCATATCCTTTGCTGCCAGAAAACAGGTCACAGCCACCGGTCGCTTCAGAAAGACTTTGAACAACTCCCAGCCAAGAACATCTCTCGCCATCCTTGCGCCGGGCAGCGAGGTCGGTCTCAGCGGAGTGCTGAGTCAGCGACTTCAGCAGGATGGAGCAGGTGATGAGATTCGCCTCGCGAGAAGGCGGGGATAAGTCTCCACTCAGAAAGACCCTCGGACCAAACAACTCGAAGCCAATTGAAGGAAAAAGTAAATGTCAGAGCGTGTGTATACATCTATATATATATATATATATATATACATGTATATATAAAATATATGTATTGCCTTGGTCATTGGTCAACCCGCAACCCATCTTAGGGTAAAAGAAAGCAAAACGCCTACGACGAGTTGGCTGACCTCGTCTTGACGACTCATACGAAATCCATGTGAAAATACACTGGAAACTTGCCCGAGACCCCTCCTTCAAGAACAGGGTGTTTGCTTCCTGTGCTGCTGAGCATAAGCGTCTCATCAGATTCACCGCATTCGTTCAATGATGTTGCCGCTTACCCATGCGAACAACGCCGAAAATATGTTGACTCTCCGTTAACATGCGAAAAACTTTGCTCTAACAAAATGGTTATAAAGGTTCGTATCTCACTCAAACCCTTCTCAACAAAGAAGCACAACCCCAGACCAAGGTCGCTATACTGGGGCTGTGGGCGATCAACAAAGGGGATGTCCAAGATGCAGGACTTTCCGCCCTGTAAGCTCATGCTAGTAGTGACATGAGATACGAGCACTAAGTTCTGACATGTGCGCTTCTGACGAATCGACATCGAACATCCGCAGGTTGCCCTTCCTGTGGCCCAAACATAGTGAAAAAAACAAATTGAAGAGGGAGAAACGCAACCTACAAAAGCGGATGCACTCCTGTTGCGGAGGATAAGCACAAGCAATCCATTTCAATTGCATCCAAAGCAAAGAAAACAAAGAGCAAAAGCTCCCCCTCCCAGTGGTTGTTCTCTTGTCACCCGGCGTAGCTTTTGAGAGGAATAGGGTAGTCTCAAAAGGCAACCCCGCCTCTCACCTGCCCAGCCACTCCACCATATTTTCTGTGGCTGTTGGGCCGGCCAAACACAGAAGCCCCGGATCCAAAACCGTCCACGAGCCCGGGATCAGGGCAAGCCTTGAGCCCGGCTTGCAGCATCTCCTCCACGATGGTCCACATGCCTTGGCAAAAAGACTCAGCCCCCTGCACTTTCAACAAAAATACATTTGTTCACAAGGGTTGAAATATTCGTTAAATGCTCCTGCATGCGGATCCAATCATGGTTGGCAGGGGGTCATTCCCATATCCCCTACTGAGCAAGCCAGAATGCGTGCCTTGTGGTTGCTTGGCTTGGTCAGTGGCTGAAAAATCACCGGTTCACGTAGAAAGGGTGTACTCACTGGTCAGTCGATTGTGACAGAAACCTGAAACCGTGAAACTGGAAAAAGACTTACCAAACAATGAATTGGACCCAAAGGGCGAACACAAACTTTAAATGTGCGCAAACCAGGACTCTTGGCCCGTCCTTTGACTCGGGTCTACCTTTGGTGTGCCAAGGTCCCAAGGGACAAAAAGTCTTGGCCTTTGTTAAGGTCTTGAACCCCTTTGTGGTGCAGCCGAACTGGACCCTCTCACAGCGTAGAATGCAGAGGGTCAAAATGACACGATTGCTTCAAATTGTCTCAAGGGAACCCTTGTCCAAAAAGCCCAAATCCTTTAAGATTAGTGTGGACCCGCTGGGCGACCCCGTATCTCTGGGCGCAAGGGTCCCTTTGGGAATTGATTCTTCATGGCAATCTGTACCAGGGGATCCAAAAGTGTGCTTTGCCGCCAGAGATGCAGCTAACAGCCAAGCGACGCGCCAAAAACGATGACCTTTGGTTCTTCCCAAATGGCTATAAAGGTAAATATGGAGCTTCACAATCCTTAAACCAAGAAGCAAAGCCCCCTACCAAATTGGTCAACAGGAAATGGGTTGAAACCGCTGTTGCCATCTTGAAGAGCCAATCCACAAGGATTTGCCCACATTTTATGTCCAACAGCCATTTCCGAGGCTGCTCCCGCCCTTGAAACTCATCTTCCGGCTGAATATACCGACTCTTAAACCACCCCTGTTGTGGGATGTTCACCGGCCGCGGTGCCCTGCCGGTCTCGCGCCGCAACCTTGGCATTCAGCAGCTCGTTGTATGTTACCTGCTGGAAATACGGGGCGTGTCTTCGCCAAGTGAACCAGGGAAAAACCCAGCATCCGAAAAGAAGAGGCGACTAAGTCAAGCTACCAACCACGCTCTTGTTTGCCCTCAGCAATCCGGAAACACTTGGGCCCATCCCATTTGTGCGGGGCCGTTATAGGAATTGCGAGCCCGTCACCACCGTGCAACCCTCCCCCATCCCGCATGCTGAGATTGATCGTGCAAGTCGTGCAAGCAGGCGGCGACCACCCAAAATGGGGGCTTCCAAATTGAACATGTGAAAATCTGACCAAAACAAAACTTCCCACGCCCCCACTCCGTCTTTGAGTGGTGTAAAGGCAAACAACTACTAACTGGAAACCAACCGTTTCAAGGGGCCATGCATGTTGATCGAGTCCCAGAGAGACAGTGGAGGTAACAAAGGCTGCCTGGTCTGTTGCAAACGAGGGTTACCCATGTGTGGGGCTGTTTGGAACAATCATCTAGACAAATCCCACAATCCCAGACTCTTCAACTTGCTTCTGTTGGCAAATGTACCCTGCAGAAGCGTCTAGGTATGGCGTGGTCATTTCCGTCGGTCAACACTTCATCCGTCCCCATTTATCTTTCCTCCTACTGCCCTAGAGATTAAAGCGGAGCCTTAAACGGGAAGTTCTTACCCCAAACGGCTGATTCCAAAAATGGCATTGCGGGCGGGTCCGTCTGAATTTGCCAAGGAGTGAGTCAACCCGTCAGCAGTCTTGTTACCTCAAAAAGACCCTGGCCCCGCTCCATCACCTTGTTGGCGCTCAAGCCCTGCGTGGACATCTCCTGCACCAAGTTCCGGGCGTCCGCCATGCGCCCGGCGGCCAAGTGGCCCTGAGATCGGTTCGCGCGCGTTCGGTTGCGCGAGGCCCCGCTGGGACCGGGACAACTGGAGCACTTGGACGGAAAAGAGTGTGTAAACGGATTTTGTTCAGCTACTAACTGCTATTCAACATCACCCTATTTCTTGATCGGAAGAGGATGCCCCCTTGGTAGCTCTTTGGAAAACAGGAGCGGCCTGGGAAAGGCCGGCAAGATAGCTTGCGTGCTACCAAGCGTCATCAATGCAATGGGTGGTGAGAAGTTACTTCCAAAAGCAAAGGCATTGCTATTGCTTTCGTTTGGACTTGTGGTGCTGCTTGCGCGAAATAATAGGCACAGGTCTTTTTGAAGAAAAATCTAAAGGAACCCTTCTCACCTTCCAGCTTTTAAAAAACGTTTGGCTGGCCTTCAGAAGGGTGTTGTAGCTGACCACGTCCAGGAAGCCCAACTGCTTCATCTCCTGAAGAGCTGCGGGCCAAATTTTGTTCAAACTTTCCCGACCACTGGCAGAAACCGATTTCGATGAGGTCATCCTGATCCGAAAAGGAGAGACTAACAGAAGGAACCGATTTAAGAGCCCCAAATGGTAATACTTTGTGACTCCAAGCTAATTTTCAGAAGAGTTGGGGTTCCCCACTAGAAACTTGGCAAGTTGAGCTTGTCGGTTCTTACCTCCCCAAGCAGCACATCTTGTAAGCCAAGTCTCTACATGCTACGTGCTGTTGATTTGGCTCAGACTGGTTGACACGAGGTTGCAGAACTGTACGAGCACAGCCAAAATTTCGGCATAACACACACGCAAGCATAGGCCTCGAAGAGAGACAAGGAGGCGTCAATGTCCCCGCACTGCACGCAGGCATCCAAGAAGCCTTGGATGTGTTCGTGTCAGCATTTCAATATGATACGTCACAAAGGAATTCTCACGTGAAAGTCGGCGATTGGAGTAGGCCGCTGTTCAACTCCCTGACACACGCAGGTGGAAGGGGACTCACTAAAATCCTGTTCTTCAGCGGCAAATGATTGGGCCACTCCTGGGGAACAAAAGCAGAAGAAAAAACAGCAGAAAAAAAAAAAAAAAAGAAGAAACAAAAACATGGACTCAGAAGTCCACTTCAGAAAAAGCGCTGGTGAGCATGCCATCTATGTACTCATTTGTATAGATGCAAACACATGGTCTACGCATTGCGATGCGAGACATTTGTTTTGTTTCCCCGTGCGCAGCCGAAGGCACAGTTGTAGACCTGCGGGCGCAGGGCCACCCCGCTCTTCTTCAGGCGGTTGAAGACCCCCGTGGCGCTCGGCAGGTCCTGGGAAGCTCTCGAGGCTTTGGGCTGGGAGGAAAGCGCCTAGCGCCCGGAAGGGGCGAGAAGCTGCTTCGGGAATCTTAAAAGGAAAGCCACTGGAGTTTCCAGGTGACAGACATAGAACCGCTGCCGGAAGTTCTCATTCCGGGTTGCCAGGCTCTTATGGCCCAGGTCAGCTAATGCAGGAATGTTTGGACAGCCGCACAACGCATGTGGTTGAAGGATGCAGTGTTTCCTGGGCTGCTTCCACATTGGGGCTCCCCCCCAGCAACAACAACAATCACAAGCAACTTGGCTGATTGATGGAAATCCTTGTGGCCTCTCTGATACTCTCGCAGCAACTCCATTCAGTGCTCCCCAGGAAGACGTGAGCCGACTCCGTGGCATTGGAGGGGTCAGATTCTATGACGTCAAGTTCAAGCAGAGCTCTGATGCCCCGGGGTTTCCGGCTACACCCCAGTGTGGCCTTTGGACCAAGCCAGGTGACTGTACTAGTCCAAGAGGAGCTCGGCTAAGATAGCTCCATCCCGCACGGAAGACACATGATCCGCAGTTTACATTAGACTAGATGGTGAAGGTCAAAGCCACACAAAACATGAACGCTTGTCGAAAGGAGAAGTCGCTATTCTGCTTTCAACCCCTTATGGAGCAGGGAGGCCCATATTTGGCTGAATCACCCCGACCGCGCGAAGGGGGGGTAGGGGGGACTGGCCTTGGTCAGACGAGCTCAACCGTTTACGATTTAGTTTGTGAAGCCAGAATGACTCGAATTCGAAAGTCACTGCACAAAAATTCACCGACCCGAATCAAAAGAATCCCGAAGCAAGGATGTTTCAACATGTCATTGGTGAGCTCTTTTGCCCCTGGTGCTGAAGTACGTCTGCTGGGGAGGAGAGGAAGATGAGGGATTGGATCTCTGATTTTTCAGAGAGGTGGGAAAGAAAAGAAAATTCAATCTTTGACCCGTGAAACGACCGTCCTTGTTCTTCACGTAAGCCTTGATGGTGGTCACTGCCCGCTGCAGCTCGTTGTTGTCGGTCTTCTCCTGAGGACGAGGCCGGCTCGCCTTTGTAAAATAGCTGGGAGCTGCGCAGTCAAAAACAGAGGCAACAGGCAATTACAGCTATTGGTTCTTCAAACGTCCTTTGGCTATTGTCCTTGACATCCTGTTGCCTTCGTGGCACAACCCCCCCACCCCCCCGCAATTTGAGAAACGATGGCAGCTCTGGTTCAGGGCTCTAAGGCTTGTAAGTGCGGTAACACCCAAAAAACTAGTGACTTCCTTCTTGGCAGCTTCTTTCCATGCAACCTTGGCCTTGATTTGGAGTGGACTTTTGGTTCAGCAACATACACCTAGGCCCATGCTTCGAATGATTTGGGTCGATTCCTGGATTCGACACATCCAGTGCATTGGACACAATAGACACAACTTTAAAGGGGGTCAACCCGAGAGCTGTTTTACCAAACAAAACAAAAAGCGGTGAGCGCGAAAGGTCCGAGTCCTGGGGCTGCACCTTGAGGCGCTGCAGCTGCTCCACCACCTCTTGGGCCCGCTGCTCCCGCTGGCCCAGCGCCAGGATCTGGCGTTGATCCGGCAGACAAAAAAAAAAACACGAAAATTTGGATTCCATGCCACATCTCAAGAGGAAACCCCACATTGTCACTGTGGAGGTGAACAACAAATGTTGTCCAATAACGGAGTGGTTTCAGAGGAATTATGTGATGTATTAAGTTCGATGTGCAAACTAGGCCGCAATATATATATATATAGTCGAGCTTCTCTAGGGGAGAATCCAACCCTTTGACAGAGGCGACGATGGCAACGAAGCTCCTGCAGTGCACAATATGTTCAGGATTAGGTTCAAACATGAAAAAATGCTGAAGTCAGAGACCATCGTTGATTTTGATTCACGTGTCCCATTTAAGTCAGGAGCCATGATACGCTTGGTTCCCCAAATACAAAGTAAACCAGTCACAAAACATGGCAGATTACAGAGTGCCAACTTGGTCGCTGCCTGTCCCCTAATGAAGGACCTTCATCATGAATGAGCTCATTCTACCCAAATGGGCTCGCTATTTTTTTGCTGAAAAAATATACCCCAATTCATGTAAGAAATCACAAGAGCGGCTACTAAGCTCTAACCAGGTCCCTTAAAGTGAACATTTTTTGGGGGGTGGTCATAAAGTGACTTTTGTGGGGGTCTCCCTTCAACCCACCGTCTAGAGGTTTATTTTTGAGTGTGTCATTGTGAATCATGAGGGCAGGCCCTGCTTTTCAAGGGTTGCATGCGCGGGACTGGTCCGATTCTTCACTATTTGTCTTCGTGCGTGAAGCTCACACGACCACAACGAGAAGCAAAGCCTCCACTCTTCCTGCCTGTACAATTGGCATTGGCTAGCACAAGTCACCGGTTGAAATGGTATCAACTCCCGGCCCTTCGGCTTTCCTGCACCAAATTCAGCTCCGTCCGACACGTTCCTCGGGTTTCCTCAAGAAATCCACGCGACCGGTTGGGCGCGCCGCACGCCTGTGCGGCCGCGGAGGACGACAGCACGCGGCAGGGGCCGCTGGGCTCCGGGTGCAGCTTCGCGAGGTGCAAAAGGGCCTCCTCCAACTTCTGGCGCTGGGCGGCCTCGACGAGAGAGGTGCACGGTGAGGAGAAAGCCACCGGGAAATGGGGAACCCCTCAGGCAAAGGCCCAGCCCCCAAATGGATGTGGCAAGCAAGAGGAGCGAAATTTGGGGGCTGAAATTCTGGGGGCCGGGCCGGGAGCCATCCATAGAGCTAGTTACGTTTTTAGCTTCAGTTGAATTCAAAGGGCTGGCGTGTCGGGTCAATGGACCCTTCCCCAAAAGGAACCCTTTTGACCTGATAGGAGCTGGCGAGCTGGCTTGGGGGACTCGTGCCCTCCTCCAGGTCCCTTCAAGGAGCCTCATTCGGTTTCACGCTTGGTCTGTTTGCCAATGGCAAAAGCCATGAGCATGAGCTTGGCTTCACGCGTCAGGCCGGTGTTAATCTGCAAAACGAGGGCCTGGACTTCAAACGCGGATGCTCGACCCATTCCCACGGCCTGAAAGAAACCGAACTGAAACCTGTCTTATGCAAAACTAGCTATCCCAAATCAATCAAGTGTCCCTCCACGGCACCTTCACGGGTCGCTCTCTCTCTCAAGAGTCATTTGGCGGAGAGAAGAGCAGCCAGTTGCAAGGGATCACAGAAACCTGCTGGCCAAAAATCTGCAGGAAGGCATCTATGTATCCACCGCTCTAGTCAAGTCGCTTAAATATATACCGGCTTGCCACACGATCTAAGCTAACCTCCACAAATGGACCATGGGTCTGGTCAAATGGGACACAAACCGGCCAGTCCTGAAAGCCTCAGGGCTCAGAAGTATTGAAATTCTCACGAAAATGTGAAAGGCTAGGCTTTGAAAGATGTCACAGAAACTAAGGCAAAGCTTTTTATCAGGGAAACTGACCATGTTCTTGGCGAAGCTTTTTATCAGGCTCCGAAAAAGCTATGAGAGCCTCTGCAGAAAGCTATGGGCAGCTGCTGCAAACTGCCAAACCAAGCGGCCGCAGTTGCAAGGATGGCGTGCATCTTCGGCCTCGGTTGATCAATTGGCACATCTTGTTTGCACCAGTGCAGCATGATTGCATCAAGTGCCACAAAATTGAAAGAGTGCGCAGCCTTTTTGGGAAATGGCAAAACTGCAGTCTGTTACATCCGGCTCCTTTACAATGCCCAGGTTGGCTTGGCAAAAATCTAGTTGTGGCGCTGTGGCGCCCTGTGTTGAGCGCAGTTGCTGAAGCACTGTTGCTGAATCGCCCGCAGTTCCTTATTTGGACTTTGTGGGGCCCGTAGGATCGCCTGCAAATGAAAGCGGAACGATTCCCTTGGCGCTTCTTGCAGGCCATCTAGAGTCAAGTTGTGATGCTTGAATGAGGACGCATTCCATTGTATCAGGAATTAAACGCTTTGGCTCGCTTTGGCATGGCATGCAACGTCAAGGTGGTGAAATTCCTCCAACTTTTGCGAGACATACCCTTGGCAACAAGGCTCTTGCCCATTCTGGGCGTCCTAAACCTGTGCACTGCCGGGATATCTTGAGATCAAGTGCCCAAAAGGTTCCCACTCGTTTTTTGACAAAATCCCCCTGTTTCACTTCTCCGTGTTCCCTTGATACACCCCAAAAGCGCACATGTGTAGAGCAGACAAGAATTCGAGGGTCCCCCTTTTGGAGGTTCAAAGGAAAATCCAAAAATTGCGAGTAGCCCCAAAAACCTGCCACGTTCTCAGGGTTCCTTCTGCTGCTCCTTGGGCGTCGGGCGTCAAAGCCTCCTCCGACAGCATAGCCGCAGTGGCGCTGACACCTTCGGGGGCACACCCAGAATTTTCCAAATCCAACCCTGGCGCAGTTGGTAAGCAAAAAAGCTAAAGTCAAAACACGGGAAAGGAAAAATTGCCCCAAACCTCACATTGTAAAGCTTTCGATAATTGTAGCTTTCCCCAACTAGCCTTCACTGAGCCGGGTTCCGGTTGTGGCTTTTTGTTGAACCACTTTTGATTTGTTGGTGTATAACACATGTTTTATCTCCCAGCAGAGGGCCAGCAAACCCTGGTTCTGAATCTGGATTCGATTGAGCAGAACCCTGTCCAGCAGTGATGGGTCAACATGTGTTTGGATCTTTTCACACAAAAGGAAAACGGACAAAGAGGCGCTTGTTGTGTTCAATTGCTTAACAGTCACGAAATGAATTTCTCAACAGTCCGGAGGAACGACATTTGGGCTGCCTCATGCAAGATAAAAGTTGATGATGCATAGGGAGGCCCACGACTGGACAATCTGCCCTTCTGACACGGCCCCATTCGAAATTCGTTGTCATGGAGGATGATCCCATCCCAAACCTCATGGCGTGTGGCAGACCTCCCGCGTTCACCAAAAACTGCCCCAAACCGCTTACCCGCCTGTGAGGTCACGGCGGCGAAGCTGCGCGGCCATCAGCGCACCCTCAGCAGGTGAGCGGAGAACGGTTGGAGGGTCAAATGAGTTGTGGAAGTTCCCCCGGTAGACACCTCTTACCTCCGCCAGCTTGTCTACGAAGAGAGTCCCCGATCTTGGTTGAAGCACCCTGTGGGACAAAGGGTTCCTTGCCTCTCCCCAAGCTTGGGCGGCAACTGGTTCTGGGTCGAGGAACCATGGGCGTCCGGTTGCCACCTCCTACCTGCAACCCTTCTCCCAACCCTTCTCCCAACCCTCCGAACAAATGAGGACTCGAGGACCTGGATAGGCTTGGATAACCGAAAGACTGCTCAATCCGTGGTCAGGCCTAGACAAACAACCTGCTAAGCGACAGAATTCCGAAGAGGAGTCGACTTTCTGCTAGGGGACCCGAACCGCTCTTGTTGGGCACGGCTAATTGCTGTGGCCAAGCGACGTAGGTCGAGGAATCCGCAGGCCTCCCAAAGTCCTCGCCAACATCGGCTGCTGAGCGGAAAGGAGGTTGAGTCACCGGTTTAAGTCTTCTGAAACCAACAGGCTTCAGCCAGCGAAAAACATGCTTGAGTCGCTATGTTGAGACATCTTTAGGGTCTCCCATTCAAGGCCTGATCCATGGAGTCTGCGTGTTTCAACCCACCTTCACCACCAACCCGCCCGGGTTGGACTCCTGCAGCAGCTTCAGCACAGGTGGCAACATCTCAATGGCCTCAGATCCATTTCGGCCCACTTTCCAGTCGTGCTGGGTGTGTTCTAACAGACGTTTTGGATCCCAAAAACATGCTCGGTCTTCTTTTGGTGTCCCTCAAATTATCACTTCAGAAGGGAGGTTCAACCAACTTTAGGCCGCAACCTTCTGCTCATGAATGGATGGTACGACTGTTGGAGCAGCACCAATTCCTTCAACTTTACTTTGAGTCTCCTCAAGGCCGTTTTGGAAACGGCTCAGTCACCTCAGCCAGAATCCTGAAACATGGCTTCAACAGCCTTGAGTGTTGGTTGCCGAGATTTGCAGAGCCTGGTATCCTCATACAAGACTTTGAACTGCAACTTTCGAGCCCAAGGTGTTGGAACTTGGATTTGATGCAAAAAGCCTGGGCAAAAACTGGTGCAAGTCGTGCGTCGCATCCTGCGCCTGTCTATGAACCTCACTCAACCTGAAGCGAGTGGCCAACTGCAGCCCAAATTGTGACCGGGTGCATCCTGCTTGCTAGCCAAAACAAAGCAAGACCGAGTAATGTACATTAAGGCCCCAAATAACTGTCTTTGCCTTGCACTGACTTCAGAATGGAAGCAAATGGCGGATTCCAAACATAAGATGCTATACAACGGGATGATAATCTGTTCTAACATCTCACTTGCTTCCTTCTTTTGTTTCTCAAGAGAGTGGCATATGAACATTCTCAAGCACCTCAGACTTTCTCAGAGGCTGATTCTCTCCCCGCTCGGCTGAAAATCCCCAACACCTCCGGAAAACCCAGGAGATCCGCAAAGCGTCGGAGGCTTTCCGTGCCAGAAATAGTGACACAGAGGGGTTGAGGTGCTGGCATCGTCGCGGAGAAGTGCCGCCGGCAAGGCCTCCCAAGGCGACGAGCTGGGCCGAATTTGGGGATCCAGCTCCACTTTGATACATACCCAATTGGCATGGCTTTGTTGGGGACGCGGTGGCCAAGCATTTGGGTGGCTCATAGCTCTGTGCAACGGGGAGAAAAACACAAGACAGAGCCCACCACGAACCCGAATGCGCATCACTTTGTGCAAGCCCAAGAAAATAATTAGAGAGAACATTTTTCGGTATAAGCCAATGGGGCTCGCAATCAAGCCTACTGCGCAAACTATGTTTTTCAGCTTGTAAAACTGTACTTTGCGTGCTCCACTTGTTGCTACAAAGCACACTAGACTTGCGTCCAGCTAGAGCTGAAAACCTGTACTTTGCGTACTAGACTTGTGCTACAAAGTTGCGATTTCCGAGCTGGAGCTCAAAACCTGTACTTGCACTTCAAAGTTGCGATCTTCCAGCCAGAGCTGGAAACTTGTACTTCACGTACTATACTTGCACTACAAAGTTGTGACTTTCCAGCTAGTGCTGGAAACCTGCACACTTCGCGCACTAGCCTTGTACTTCAAACTTGCGATTCTCCAGCTAGAGCTGGTACGACAAAGTTGCGATTTTCCAGCCAGAGCTGGAAACCTGTACTTTGCGCGCTAGACTTGTTCTACGGAGTCGCAATTTACCAGCTGGAGCTGGAAACCTGCACTTCGTGTACTAGACTTGTACTACAAAGTCGCGATTTTCCAGCTAGAGCTAGAACCCTGTACCTTTGCGTACTAGACTTGTACTACAATACTACAAAGTCACGATTTTCCAGCTAGAGCTAGAAACCTGTACTTCGCGTACTAGACTTGTACAACAAAGTCGATATTTTCCAGCTGGAGCTGGAAACCGGCACTTTGCGTATAGACTTGTCAAAGCTGCGATTTTCCAGCTACAGCTAGAATTGTACTTCGCGCACTAGACTTGCGCTACAAAGTTGTGATATTCCAGCGCGCACTGGACTTCGTCTGAGCACAACTTCTGATTGACACTTCTGGGCGAAACTTTTGAGTGACACCGGATCAACACTTCTGAACCACACTTTCTCTGATCGACACTTCTGATTGACACTTCTGAGCGACACTTTTGAGCGACACCTGATCAACACTTCTGAACCACACTTTTTCTGATCGACACTTCTGAGCAACACTTCTGAGCGACACTTTGTCTGATCGATTTTTCTGAGCAACACTGCTGAATTGACACGTCTGAGCGACACTGCTGAGCAACACTTCAAGCTGACACTTCTGCGCGACACTTCCAAGCAACACTTCTGATCGACACTTCTGAGCGACACTTGTTCTGATCGACTTTTCTGAGCAACACTTCTGATCGACACTTCTGAGCAAGACTTTTGATCCGCACTTTTGATTGAAACTTCTGATCGACAGTTTGAGCAACACTGCTGAACCACACTTCTGATTGACACTGGTGAGCAACTCTTCTGATCCACACTTCTCGTCGGCAGTTCTGGGCAACACTTCTGACCAACACTTCTGATCCACACTGCTCATCGACACTTCTGAACGACACTTCTGAGCAGCACTTCTGAGCGACACTTTTTCTGATCGACTTTTCTGAGCAAAACTTCTGATCGACACTTCTGCTCGACACTTCTGAGCAACACGTATTTGGATCCGCACTTCTGATTGACACTTCTGATCGACAGTTTGAGCAACACTGCTGAACCACACTTCTGATTGACACTTATGACCAACACTTCTGATCCACACGTCTCATCAACGGTTCTGAGCAACACTTCTGACCAACACTTCTGATCCACACTGCTCATCGACACTTCTGAACGACACTTCTGAGCAACACTGCTGAATTGACACTTCTGAGTGACACTTCTGAGCAACACTTCTGATCCACACTGCTCATCGACACTTTTGAGGAACCCTTCTCATCAACACTTCTGAGCAACACTTCCGACCCACACTTCTGATCGCAACTTCTGAGCAACATTCTGAGCGACACTTCTGAGCAACACTTCCAGCCGACACTTCCGAGCAACACCTTTGAGCAAGACTTCTAATCTACATTTCGGAGTCACACTTCTGAGCGACACTTTTGATCGCCTTTTCTGAGCAACACCTCTGATCGACACTTCTGAGCAACACTTTCGATCCGCACTTCTGATTCACACTTCTGATCGACAGTTCTGAGCATCTGGTCAACACTTCTGATCCACACTGCTCATCGACACTTCTGAGCGGCACTTCCGAGCAATAATACTGCTGCAATCAATTTTCTGAGCGACACTTCTAAGCAACACTTCAAACTGACACTTCCGAGCAACAATTCTGATTGGCACTTCTGATCGACACTTCTGAGCAACACTTCTGAGCAACACTTCTGACACACACTTCAGAGCAACACTGCTGATTCGACACTGCTGATCGACACCTCTGACCGACACCACGATCGACAGTTCTGAGCAACACTTCTGATCGATGCTTCTCATCCACACTTCTGCTCGATACTTCAGAGAGACACTTCTGCGCAACATTTCTGATGGAGCAACACTTCTGATCAACACTTCTGACCCACACTGCTGAGCAACACTTCCGACCGACACTTCCGAGCAACACTTTCGAGCAACACTTCTGATTCGACACTGCTGATCGACACCCCTGACCGACAACCTCTGATCGACAGTTCTGAGCAACACTTCTGACCGATGCTTCTGATCAGCACTTCCGAGCAACACTCCTGAGCAAACACACGCACCACACACACACACATGTAAGCGACGCTTTTGAGCGACACTTCTGATCGACACCTCTGAACAACACTTCTGGGCAACACTGCGCGGCACTCCTGAGCGACACTCTGAAAACACCTTTGAGCGACACGTCTGAGCCACACACAATCAGCAACACTGCTATCTGAGCGACAATTCCAGCAACATTTCTACACACATATCTCAGCGACATGAGCGACGCTCCCGAGCGACACTTCTGAGCGACACTGCTGAGCAACACTTCCAGCCGACACTTCCGAGCAACACCTTTGAGCAAGACTTCTGATCTACACTTCGGAGTTACACTTCTGAGCGACACTGCTGACCAACACTTCTGATCCACACTGCCCATCGACACTTCTGAGCGACACTTCTGAGCAGCACTGCTGAACTGACACGCCTGAGCGACACTGCTGAGCAACACTTCAGGCTGACACTTCTGCGCGACACTTCCAGGCAACACTTCTGATCGACACTTCTGAGCGACACTTTTGATCTGAGCGACACTGCTGATCGACACTTCTGAGCAACACTTTCGATCCGCACTTCTGATTCACAATTCTGATCGACGGTTCTGAGCATCTGGTCAACACTTCTGATCCACACTGCTCATCGACACTTCTGAGCGGCACTTCTGAGCAATACTGCTGAAATCAATTTTCTGAGCGACACTTCTGAGCAACACTTCTGAGCAACACTTCTGACACACACGTCAGAGCAACACTGCTGATTCGACACTGCTGATCGACACCTCTGACCGACACCTCTGATCAACAGTTCTGAGCAACACTTCTGACCTTCTGATCACCACTTCCCAGCAACACTTTTGAGCAAACACACACACACATGTAAGCAACGCTTTTGAGCGACACTTCTGATCGACACCTCTGAACAACACTTCTGGGCAACACTGCGCGGCACTCCTGAGCGACACTCTGAAAACACCTTTGAGCGACACGTCTGAGCCACACACAATCAGCAACACTGCTGTCTGAGCGACAATTCCAGCAACATTTCTACACACATATCTCAGCGACATGAGCGACGCTCCCGAGCGACACTTCTGAGCGACACTGCTGAGCAACACTTCCAGCCGACACTTCCGAGCAACACCTTTGAGCAAGACTTCTGATCTACACTTCGGAGTTACACTTCTGAGCGACACTTCTGACCAACACTTCTGATCCACACTGCTCGACACTTCTGAGCGACACTTCTGAGCAACACTGCTGAATTGACACGTCTGAGCGACACTGCTGAGCAACACTTCAGGCTGACACTTCTGCGCGACACTTCCAAGCAACACTTCTGATCGACACTTCTGAGCGACACTGTTGATCGACTTTTCTGAGCTTCTAAGCAACACTTTCGATCCGCACTTCTGATTGACACTTCTGATCGACAGTTCTGAGCATCTGGTCAACACTTCTGATCCACACTGCTCATCGACACTTCTGAGCGGCACTTCTGAGCAATACTGCTACAATCATTTTTCTGATCGACACTTCTGAGCAACACTTCTGAGCAACACTTCTGACACACACTTCAGAGCAACACTGCTGATTCGACACTGCTGATCGACACCTCTGACCGACACCTCTGATCAACAGTTCTGAGCAACACTTCTGACCTTCTGATCACCACTTCCCAGCAACACTTTTGAGCAAACACACACACACACATGTAAGCGACGCTTTTGAGCGACACTTCTGATCGACACCTCTGAACAACACTTCTGGGCAACACTGCGCGGCACTCCTGAGCGACACTCCCGAGCGACACTCTGAAAACACCTTTGAGCGACACGTCTGAGCCGCACACAATCAGCAACACGCTCAAGATGCGCGCAGCGCCACGAAATCTACACCCAGGCGCCAAGGTACTGCGCCTGCCACGACATTTGCACGAAAAAATCCAAAGTGCCGCGCCTGCCACGAAATTCAACCAAAACGCTCGAAAGTGCTGCGCCTGTTACGCAAAGCAAGCTTGCCACAAACTCAAAATCATCCAAACTGCTGGACCTGCCACGAAATCCAACTTTGACACGTTTACGTCACGCATCGAAAACTAGCACGGAACTGCGGCGCCAGAATGATTTCGACCAATTTTGACACGCTTCAGGCTCGCCAAAACGAGCCGAGCAGGGCCAACGAAAATGACACTCGCGCAAGCGACCACCCCTGGATCGCAAATCCCACTGGCACGGCAACGAGAATAGGCAGCCTTCCAAAACACTGC